TTGCTCTGCATTCTTCCACTACTTGGTCTGATCAATCTCCTTTTTAATTTTTTTTTTTTTTTAAGACAGGATCTCATTCTGTCACCCAGGCTGGAATGCAGTGTGGTGCAACCACTGCTCACTGTAGCCTCAATTTCCCATGCTCAATCAATCCTCCCACCTCAGCCTCCTGAGTAGCTGGGACTAAAGGTGCACGCCACCATGCCCGGCTAATTTTTGTATTTTTTTTGTAGAGACAGAGTTTCACCATATAGCACAGGCTGGTCTTGAACTCCTGGGCTCAAGCAGTCCACCTGCCTTGGCCTCCCAAAGTGCTGGGATTACAGATGTGAGCCTCCTCACCCAGCCTGATTAGTTCTCTTGAGTCTCGCCAGCCTAGTGGATATGGTTTTAATTTACGTTTACCTGATGACTAGTGATGGTGAGTGTCTTTTCCTGTGCTTATGTCCACTTGTATATTTTCTTTGGAGGAATTTCTGTTCAAATCTTCTGCCCATTTTTAAATTGGGTTGTTGGTCATCTTATTGAGCTGTAAGGGTCCTTTGTCTAATATCTGTGCTGCGAATCTGAAGTTTGAGGCTTGCCTTTTTGTTTACTTCCTTGCTTTCCTTTCTTTTCTTTCTCTTTTCCTTTCTCCCTTCCTTCCCTTTCTCTTCCCCTTCCTTCCCTTCCCTTTCTCTTTCTTTTTCTCTTTCCCCTGCCCTCCCGTCCTCTCCCCTGCCTTCCCCTCCTCTGCCCTCCCCACCTCTCCTCTCTCCTTCCCTTTCCTTCTCTTCCCTTTTTTTTCTTTTTCTTTTTTGTTTTTTTGACAGAGTCTCACTTTGTTGCCAAGGCTGGAATGCAGTGGTGTGATTATAGCTCACTGCTACCTCAAACTCCTGGGCTCAGGCAGTCTTCCTGCCTTGACCTGCTAAAGTGTTGAGTTTACAGGCATGAGCCACTGTACTTGGCCGTTTTCATTTTCTTCATAGTGTATCAAAGAGCCAAAGTTTTGGCCGGGCGCAGTGGCTCATACCTATAATCCCAGCACTTTGGGAGGCCAAGGCGAGTGGATCACCTGAGGTCAGGAATTCAAAACTAGCCTGGACAACATGGTGAAACCCCATTTCTGTGATTACAGGAATGAACCACCGTGCCCAGCCTAATTTGTATATTATTAGTAGAGACGGGATTTCACCATGTTGGCCAGGCTGGTCTGGAACTCATGAACTCAAGTGATCCTCCCACCTTGGCCTCCCAAAGTTCTGGGATTATAGACATGAGTCACTGTGCCTGGCCTCTAGTTGCAAACTTAAAATTCATTTTCCATGTGTCTCTGCTTACTCTCTAGGACTGTGTGCAGCTGAATCAGTATACCCTGAAGGATGAAATTGGAAAGGTAAATATCCCCGGAGCCAGGGTGGTTTTCTGCATTCATTAGGGGCATTGAGGCACTATGGAGGGGACGGGGTAAAGCTTCGAGCAGGAGAGGCGTCTTTGGAGGCAAGGTTGGTGGAGGGGGTTTTGTCAAATTAAATATGTTTCTGCAGAAGCTCAGAAAGCTTCCAGAGAAATTTCATATTACCTTGGTGATAGTTACATTGCCATCACATTTGGGGTTTTGTTTCACCCCGAAGTACTCTGACATTTAGTTTTGCTTTTGTTTTAGCCAAGGGGGGTATCATTACCATGGTCAAAAATCCGAATACCAATAGAAAACAAGGAAATAACAGAAAGGAGAGAGGCATGCCAGGTGTAAGGCAGTGGGGAGTGGTAGTAAGGTAGTAAGGTAGTAGGGACTTGGCAAACCATTAACATATGGAAATGAGGGCTACATATAGCTAGAGCTTCCAATTTTTTTCAAAAGAAACTAGGTATCTGGATTTTTTTCTTTTGAGACAGGGTTTCGCTCTGTCACTGAGGCTGGAGTGCAGTCGTGCATTCTCAGCTTCCTGCAACCTCTGCCTCCTGGGCTCAAGCGGTTTTCCTGCCTCAGCCTCCCAAGTAGTTGGGACTACAGGTGCGCACCACCACACCTGGCTAATTTTTGTATTTTTTGTAGAGACGGGGTTTTACTATGTTGCCCAGGCTGTTCTCAAACCTGACCTCAAGTGATCTGCCCCCCTTGGCCTCTCAAAGTGCTGGGATTACAGGCGTAAGCCACTGTGCCTGGAAGGAATATGGATTTTTATATCAGATCTTTCTTTCTTTTTTTTTGAGACTGAGCCTCGCTATGTCACTCAGGCTGGAGTGCAGTGCCGCAATCTTGGCACACTGCAGCCTCCGCCTTCCAGGTTCAAGGACTTCTCATGCCTCAGCCTCCCAAGTAGCTGGGATTAGAGGTACCCGCCACCATGCCCGGCTAATTTTTGTATTTTTAGTAGAGACAGGGTTTTGCCATGTTGACCAGGCTGGTCTCGAACTCCTAACCATGAGTGATTCGCCTGCCTTGGCCTCCCAAAGTGTTGGGATTACAGGTATGAGCCACTGCACCCGGACCAGGTCTTTCTGTTTTTAAATGTTGGCAATTAATCTGAACTTTGTGAAAAGCTGGGTTCCAACAAAGTACATTTGTGGGACAGATTTGACCAACGGGCTGCCGGTTTGCACCCTCTGTATTAGGGTTCTCATTTTGCAGATCTTAACTTCTGGATAGTGTGTCATGGGCATCTCCCTTTCTCCAGGGCTCCTATGGCGTCGTCAAGTTGGCCTACAATGAAAACGACAATACCTACTATGTGAGTATCCGCATTCTCCTGCCTGCCCCCATGCTTATCCACAGAAGAGCCTCCTTGCCAGCACTCAGCTTGCTGGAAAGTTTTCATAGCTGTTGTCTCGTTTTATTCTTAGGCCATGTTTATTTCGTGCCTTAGGAAGGAAGTGGTATGCCCATTTTGCAGATGGGAAAATGGGGAGGTGAGGTGATTAGCCCAGGAGTTACTCATTCAACAGAAGGCATTTATGCCCTTCCTCTGAGCTGTCATCTCTGCATCCTCTGTAGTACTGAGAACAAGGCAGCAGTGACAAAGATGCCTGCATGGGTGGCTTTGAGTCAGTCCGGCATAGGTTTGAACCTGACTCTACTGTGTGCCAACCATGTGCCCTTGACAAGTGCTATTTCCCCATGTGTAAAACAACCAGTCTTGCCCTCCTTTGCCCATTGCTCCAGCTCCCTTGTGTTTTGATTCGATAGCAGCAAGTCGAGGCTTGTGGTTTCCCACCTGGGAGAGCTGACTGTGGGCCTCAGGAACACCTCAGGGCTGGAGGCACCCCAGGAGTCTAGCCTCCTCACACCTCATGGCTGCTTGACCCCTCTGGTAATGAGGGGCTTACTCTGTTGTCCTGAGCCTGCCAGGGGGCCAGGAGCTTGGGCCAGCCTTAGAGTAGACAAACCCTCACCTTGCCTTCCTCCTCCTTCTCCTCCCTGCTTTAACCAGGACCTGGGGTCTTTTTTCCTGCAGGCAATGAAGGTGCTGTCCAAAAAGAAGCTGATCCGGCAGGCCGGCTTTCCACGTGAGTTTGGCTGGCCTTTGTTCTTAGATGCAGGCGCTGGGGCAAGACAGAGCAGAGCCCACTGGATGGGAACTGTTGCAGAGGGTGCCCTGGGTGGGCACCCCATCCCGCTCAGGGCTCCCTACCGAAGGCAGAGCTTAACTTCTTGCTGAGGTTGTTTATTATTATTATTTTTATTATTTTGAAACAGTGTCTCTCACTCTGTCTCCCAGGCTGGAGTGCAGTGGCACGATCTTGGCTCACTGCAACCTCTGTCTCTGGGGTTCAAACGATTCTCCTGCCTCAGCCTCCTGAGTAGCTGGGACTACAGGCACGTACCACCACGCCCAGCTAATTTTGTATTTTTCTTAGAGACAGGGTTTTACCATGTTGGCCTGGATGGTCTTGATCTCTTGACCTTGTGATCTGCCTGCCTCGGCCTCCCAAAGTGCTAGGATTATAGGAGTGAGCCACCACGCCCAGCCCCTTTATTCATTTTTTCTTAAAAATATTTATGGCTGGACACAGTGGCTCATGCCTGTAATCCCAGCACTTTGGGAGGCTGAGGCAGGTGGATCACTGGAGGCCAGAAGTTCAAGACCAGCCTGACCAACAAGGTGAAACTTCATCTCTGCTACAAATACAAAAATTAGCCAAGGGTAGTGGCGCATGCCTGTAATCCCAGCTATTTGGGAGGCTGAGGCACAAGAATTGCTTGAACCTGGGAGGTGGAGTTTGCAGTGAGCCTAGATCATGCCACTGGACTGGCAGCCTGGGTGACAGGGCAAGACTCTGTCTCAAAAAATAATAAAATAAAAATATTTATTAAAGTTATATAGGTATGAAGTAAAAAAAATCCAGTAGAGGAAAAACACTCTGGTAGTTCCTCAAAAAGTTAATCATGGTGTTACCATATGATTCAGTAATTTCACTCCTACTTACATATCCAAGAGAACTGAACATATTTGTTCGCACAGGAGCTTGTATGTGATGTTCATAGCAGGTTTAGTCACAATAACTAAAAAGTGGAAACAACTCACATGTCCTCAGTGAATGAATAGAGTAGATATGTAACCAATGGAATATTATTCAGCCATAAAAAGTAATGAAGTACCAATTCATGCTCCAACACAGATGAGTCTTAAAGACATTATATTAAGTGAAAGAAGCCTGGCCGGGTGCAGTTGCTCACACCTGTAATCCCAGCACTTTGGGAGGCCGAGGCAGGCAGATCACCAGAGGTCAGGAGTTCGAGACCAGCCTGGCCAACATGTTGAAACCACATCTCTACTAAAAATACAAAAATTAGCTAGGTGTGGTAGCGGGTGCCTGTAACTCCCGCTACTTGGGAGGCTGAGGCAGGAGAATTGCATGAACCCGGGAGGCGGAGTTTGCAGTGAGCTGAGATCATGCCATTGTACTCCACCCTGGGCAACAAGGGCAAAACTCCATCTCAAAAAAATAAAGAGGCCTAACACAAAAGGTCACATATTATGTGATTCTATTTATGTGAAATACCCATAAGAGGCCAATCCATAGGAACAAAAGAAGATTTTTGATTGCTAGGGGCTCTGATGGACAGGGGACATGATGGGTAAATGCCAATAGATATCAGATATATATATGTATATATCTGGGGGGGCATTGAAAGTATTCAGTTGTCGGCCAGGCACAGTGGCTCACGCCTGTAATCCCAGCACTTTGGGAGGCCGAGGTGGGTAGATCACTTGAGGTCAGGAGTTCAAGACCAACCTGACCAACACAGTGAAACATTGTCTCTACTAAAAATACAAAAATTAGCTGGGTGTGGTGGCACTCGCCTGTAGTCCCAGCTACTTGGGAGGCTGAGGCAGGAGAATCACCAGAACCCTGGAGATGGAGGCTGCAACGAGCCGAGATCATGCCACTGCACTCCAGCCTGGGCAACAGAGTGAGATTCCCTCTCAAAAAAAAAAAAAAAAAGATAAAAAAAGCTGGGCCCACGCCTGTAATCCCAACACTTTGGGAGGCTGAGGTGGGTGGATCATGAGGTCAGGAGTTCGAGACCAATGTGGCCAATATTGTGATACCCCATCCCTACTCAAAATGTAAAAATTTGCTGGGGGTGGGGGTACACACCTGTAATCCCAGCTACTTGGGTGGCTGAGGCAAAAGAATCGCTTGAATCCAGGAGGTGGAGGTTGCAGTGAGCCGAGATCGTGCCACTGCATTCCAGCCTGGGTGACAGAGCGAGACTCCATCTCAAAAAAAAAAAGGGGGGTAAAATAAAAAAATTTAAATACCATGGGGGCATTTAAAAAAAAATTACCAAAAAAAAAAAAAAAAAAGCCAAAGGACAGGAAGACACATAATGGAGGAGAGTTTCTTGCCCTCTTCCCTTCTCCGACAGGCAGCCTTGGCTTTTAGCTCTGTTAGTTGCTGGTAGCTTCTATGTGTGGTCAGATGACAGGCCTGCATGAGTGTATCGGAGGCTGCTTCCACGTAAGCTCCCTGCCTGCATTGCTGGGCAAAATGTCAGCTTGGGCCAAAAAGAGAAATTAGATCAGAACACACAAGCCCCATCCTAACCGTGGGACCCTCGTTTATCATTCGTATCCAAATGCTGTACCAGGCAGTAATCCTTGTGTCACTATTATCCATTTTTGACATCTGCTCCTGACTTCTTCCAGTGACTGTGGAGGATTTCGCTTGCTTAAACACTCCTTCTTACCTCCTGTCTTAACAAAATAGCAAACGGTGTGCTATAACAATGTACCAGAGACTGGGTGGCCTAACCCATGGACACTTATTTCTCACACTTCTGGAGGCTGCTTCGTAATTAGCACCGTCTCCGGTGCGGTGCGGTGGCTCACGCCAGCCTTTGGGAGGCTGAGGTGTGTGAATCACTTGAACCCAGGAATTGTAGACCAGCGTGGGCAATGTAGGGATACACCCTGTCTCTACCAAAAATTTAAAAATTAGCTGGGCATGGCGGTGTGTGCCTGTAGTCCTAGCTACTCGGTAGGCTGAGGTGGGAGGATCACTTGAGCCTGGGAGTTCAAGGCTGGAGTGATTCTTGATTGCACCACTGAACTCCAGCCTGGGAGACAGACCCTGTCTCAAGACAAACAAACAAACATGGATAGTGCCTTCTTACCGAATCCTTACATGGCAGAGGGGCGAGGCAGCTCTCTGGGATCTGTTATAACATTCAGGAGGGCTCCACCCTCCCGACCTCCTCTCCTCCTGAAGTCCCATGTCCTGATACCATCACACTGGGGATCAGGTTTTCACGTGAGAATTCTGGAGGATCACAAACATCCTGACCATAGCACCTCCCTTTCTCCAGCAGGCTGGCCAGCTCCTCTGTGGCCACACACCCGCCGCTTCCCCTCACTGCATGGCGAGTATCTCCCCCCTCCCCATGCTGTAAGAGGAGGCTGTTCTCACCCTCCCTTTTCCTTTGAACTCAGCTTCTCTTCTTTCACATCCCTCTTCTGACACCTGCACTTATGCCTTGCCTTTTCCAAGGCCAATCACATCCCAGTTCTGTTCTGTTAATCACACTTAGAGCCTTCCCTACACAGGATGTGTGCCATCATGAGGGTTTCCACTGTGAGCCTGTACATCCTTGTGACTGTTTGCCTATTATTATTATTATTATTATTATTATTATTTTGGAGACAGAAGTTTTGCTTTTTTGCCCAGGCTAAAGTGCAGTGGCATGATCTCGGCTCACTGCAACCTCTGCCTTCTTGTTTCAAGCGATTCTCCTGCCTCAGCCTCCCAAGTACCTGGGATTACAGGTGCCCACCACCACGCCCAGCTAATATTTGTATTTTTAGTAGAGACGGGGTTTCCCCATGTTGGCCAGGCTGGTCTCGAGCTCCTGACCTCATGATCCACCCGCCTCAGCCTCCCAAAGTGCTGGGATTATAGGCATGAACCACCTCGCCTGGCCTTGTTTGTTTATTATTTACTGGAGGGTCAGGTGGTGACCTGAGTGCCTCTCCTTTCTGGCGTAACCTTTTGTTTTTCTCTCCTGATGCTTGCTTCTTCTCTTCTCCCTGGCTTCGTTTTATATCTGTGCTATTTCTTTTCTTTTCTTTTCTTTTTTTTTTTTTTTTTTTGAGGTAGAGTCTCGCTCTGTCACCCAGGTGGAGTGCAGTGGCATGATCATGGCTCACTGCAAGCTTGACCTTCCTGGGCTCAGGTGATCCTCCCACCTCAGCTCTTGAGTAGCTGGGACCACAGGCACGTGCCACCATGCCAGGCTAATTTTTTGCAATTTTTATAGAGTCAGGGTTTCGCTGTGTTGCCCAGGCTGGTCTTGAACTCCTGGGCTCAGGCAATCTGCCCGCCTTAGCCTTCCAAAGTGCTGGGATTATAGGCATGAGCCACAGGGCCCAGCCAGCCATCTGTGCTGTGAGTTAAGGAGATAAGAGATCACGTTGATGTCTGTTTTATGGACTACGAAAACCGAGCCCAGAGAGGGGCAGCGACTGACTCACGCTGGGGTGTTGAGGTTGCCGAGCTAGGCTACAGTTGCCGCAGCACTCCTGCCTCTCACCATGGACTGGGGCATGGACTGGGGACGTGACTGGAAGGAGGGAATTCACAGGACGGCTGAGGCCTCTGCTCTCACTCACTTGCAGCAGCAGAGGAGGCAGAGGAGGAGAAGGCTAGTTAAAGCCCCTGGCGGCAGCAGCCCCTCCAGCCCTGCGGAGACCCTCCCGCTTTTGATATCCTACCTGCAGCTGCCCTCTGCAGAGGAAAGTCTCTTTGCCCTGATCCTTGGTCCGTTTCTGTCTCCTCCAGGTCGCCCCCCACCCCGAGGCACCCGGCCAGCCCCTGGAGGCTGCATCCAGCCCAGGGGCCCCATTGAGCAGGTGTATCAGGAAATTGCCATCCTCAAGAAGCTGGACCACCCCAATGTGGTGAAGCTGGTGGAGGTGAGGGTGAAGGCACCGAGGAGGGAGGGAGGCCCTGGCTTTGTTAATCCGAAAACACCCGCCTCTACTTTCCAGGGAGAGCCCAGTCACACCAGACCTTTTGCTGCAGGGCTGAGTCGTGTTTACTGCTCCCTGAGACTAGTTATTACTCACATTTCTTTTTTTCCCCTTCTTTCTTTTGCCTGCTTCGTTTTTCTGTCAGGTGTTTGTTACTCTCACTTTACGGAAAAAGAAATTGAGGCTCAGAGGGATCCCTTCACCCATTTCTGTCTCTTTAAACCGGTTCTCTTTCTGCTTACACATAGGGGTAATCGTAGCACCAAAGCAGCCACACACGATGTAAACAAATGGCATGGCTGTGTTCCAGTACAACTTTATTTTCAAAAACAAGGCCCAGCCCAGTGGCCCACACCTGTGATCTCAGCGCTCTGGGAGGCTGAGGCGGACAGGTCATTTGAGATCAGGAGTTTGAGACAAGCCTGGCCAACATGGTGAAACCCTGTCTCGACTACAAATATGAAACAAATAATGGACAAAAAATAAATAGGCACAGGGCTGAGTTTGGCCCATAGGCTGTAGTTTGTCAGCCCCTGCTCTACATCAGCAGTTCTCATACTTTTAGGTCTCAGGATCCCTTTGTACTCCTAAAAAACCCCATCTCAACTAAAAATACAAAAAAATTAGCTGGGCATGGTGGCGGGTGCCTGTAATCCCAGCTACTTGGGAAGGCTGAGGCAGGAGAATCGCTTGAACCCGGGAGGTGGAGGTTGCAGTGAGCCGAGATCATGCCATTGCACTCCACTCTGGGCGACAAGAGTGAAACTCTGTCTCAAAAAAAAAAAAAAATTTTTTTAAGACCCCCATAGCACTTTTGCTTATATGAGTTATATTTATTAATAGCTACCACATTAGAATTTAAAACTCAGAAAATTAAATTTAAACTATTAAGTCATTTAAAAACAACAGGCTGGGCACGGTGGCTCATGCCTATAATCCCAGCACTTTGGGAGGCTCAGGTGGGTATCTTCCTCTCTGCTGCCCTATGGCATTTGGCCTTTCCACCCAAGACTCTTTGCCAGCCCATCTGTTTGTTCATTCATCCGATATTCCCTGGGCACCTACTGTATGCCATGCCCTGTATGGGATGCCACTGAGGAAACCAAGGTGGATGTAGCCTACTGCCTGCCCTTTGGAGACAGAGAAAGTGCTATGGCTGTTCCGGGCAGGGAGACATCATTTCCTGTGGGGCCAGGGGCAATGGGGAGGCTTCATGGAATTACTTGAGCCCAGATGGGATTTGAATTTTCACCCTTAAGACCCTTATCTCCTAGGAAATGGGTTGGATTCTTATTCAAGCAAGAGACATTTCTGGGGGGTGGTATTTTGCCCCCTTCCTTTTGCATCTTCCTTTCTGAGTGTTTGGATCCCTGAGGATCAGACTAAGAGGTGTTTATTTTCCAACTAGCCATTAGGATCTCACAGTCTGGAGCTTTCCCTATGCTCTCCATCTTAACTGGGAAACTCACTGCCAAGTGCAGCCCTTCTGTTGGCAAACGTAGCCACGTGGATGCTGCTTCCTTCCTGCTCATATCTGTTCTCTCTTTTTCTCCCCCGCCGTCCATTTCCTGCCTGTTCTGTGCGGCTGTGCCAAGGTCCTGGATGACCCCAATGAGGACCATCTGTACATGGGTAAGGAAGCCCTTTTCTTCTGCCATCCTCACTCAGGCAACACACTTGCCAATGCCCAGGGGTCCTCTTGAGGCAGCCCGTGGCCTGGCACCTCCCACCAAAGACAGCTTTCCCCTTTCTGGTCCAGCTGGCCCCACCGGAGGCTACACTATGGTTGGGATCAGGGGGCGGAAGGGAGTTCTTGCTGGAACTTTATCTGGATAAAGTTCTTCATTCATTTGCATATATTTGTTTTTCTGAGACAGGGTCTTGCTCTGTTGTCCAGGCTACAGTTCAATGGCGCACAGCTCACTGGAGCCTTGATCTCCTAGGCTCAAGCGATCCTCCCACCTCAGCCTCCTGAGTAGCTGGGATTACAGGCATGCACCACCATACCCAGCTAATTAAAAAAAAAAATTTTTTTGAGACAGAATTTTGCTCTTTCGCCCAGGCTGGAGTGAAGTGGCGTGATCTCAGCTCCCTGCAAATTCCGCCTCCTGGGTTCAAGTGACTCTTCTGCCTTAGCTGGGATTACAGGCGTACGCCACCACACCTGGCTAATTTTTGTATTTTTAGTAGAGATGGGATTTCACCATGTTGGCCTGGCTGGTCTTGAACTCCTGACCTTGTGATCTGCCCACCTCAGCTTCCCAAAGTTCTGGGATTACAGACGTGAGCCACCTTGCCCAGCCTAATTTTAAAAATTTTTGTAGAGACAGAATCTTACTATGTTGTTCAGCCTGGTCTCAAATGCCTGGGCTCAAGAGATCCTCCTGCCTCCCAAAGCATATATTTATTGACCACCTCCTATATGGTGGGCACTGTTTTAGGTGGTACATAGAAAAAATGTAGAAAAAAATGTTTAGATTTGATTTAACATTGTATAGGAAAATCTATAACCAGCATCCCAAACTCGTGATTTCATGGATATTATCATCTAGGACAAGGCTAAAAAATTAAAAACAGTCCATTTAAAGAAAAACATTAAATAATTTATGTGGCATATAGGTATGGCCAAATGATCAACATAGTAGGCAAATCAGTGAAATTTGGGGAGATGCAGTAGAAATCGCAATCTGTCAAAAGTCATTTTGTTCCAGCATGGCATTCTTAGCGTAATTCTCTCAATTGGGACCTGAGATCCAGCTCAGAATGGCTTTGAGCTGTTTCTGAGGCATGCCTTTGTTCATGCGACAAATGTTACAATTTGTCAGATCTGCTCTAGGTTCATCAGGGACAACATTCAAAACCTCCTGTCCTCAGGGAGCGCACCTGAGCATGATGCACGGGTTTCGAAAGCGACACCACCATTACAAAACAAAAGCCCGAGCAGGGTATGAGGGGCTGCGAGTTTTGGGTTGCGGGATGGAGAAATACAGTGGCTCTGCAGGGACTGTCTCACCGAGATGACATTTGAGCAGAACAGTAGGGACCAGGTGGCAGAGGGTATTTTACAACATTGTAAAGAAGTTGGGTCGGGCGCGGTGGCTCACATCTGTAAACCCAGCACTTTGGGAAGCCGAGGCGGGTGGATCACCTGAGCTCAGGAGTTTGAGACCAGCCTGGGCAGCATGGCGAAACCCCGTCTCTACTAAAAATACAAAAATTAGCTGGACATGGTGGTGTGCATCTGTAATCTCAGCTACTTGGAGGCTGAGGCACAAGACTCATTTGAACCTGGGAGGTGGAGGTTGCAGTGAGCTGAGATGGTGCCACTGCACTCCAGCCTGGGCAACAGAGTGAGACTGCCTCAAAAAAAAATTAAAAATTTGGCTTTGATTCTGAGGGTGATGGAAGCCATTGGTGGGTGTTGAGTTGAGGGATAGAATGAGTATAAGAAGAACATGGCCCAAGCCTCTAAGAGGAGTTTCCTGATCTGCTTGAGCTGGGCAGCTGCAGAGACAGTTTTTCACTACTCAAGGTGGCAGTTGCAGAAAGGAGCCATGCTAATTTGGGATACGTGATTCCAGTGGTTTTGAAAATCCTGACACAGTTATATTTTACTTTCCAGCCACAGCCGTGTGAGCCTGAGACAGACAGGGCAGTGCACAAGGCCAGGTAGTAGGTGTCTGGAAGGCTCTGCAGCCACAGGAGACATGCAGACATGCAAAGAGCAGAAAACTCAGTCCAGGTGTGGTGGCTCATGCCTGTAACCCCAGCACTTTGGGAAGCTGAGTTGGGAGGACCACTTGAGGCCAGGAGTTTGAGGCTGTAGTGAGCTACGATTGTGCCACTGCACTCCAGACTGGGTGACAGAGCAAGACCCTGTCTCAGTTGAAAAAAAAAAAAAGGGAGTGGGCTGGGCATGGTGGTTCATGCCTGTAATCCCAGCACTTTGAGAGGCTGAGGTGGAAGGATCATCTGAGGTCAGGAGTTCAAGACCAGCCTGACCAACACGGTGAAGCTCCGTCTACACTAAAAATACAAAGTTAGCCAGGTATGGTGGCACATGCCTGTAATCCCAGCTACTTGGGACGCTGAGGCAGGAGAATCGCTTGAACCTGGGAAGTGGAGGTTGCAGTGAGTTGAGATTGTGCCATTGCACTCCAGCCTGGGCAACAGAGAAGACTCTGTCTCAAAAAAAAAAAAAAAAAAAAAGAAAAAAGAAAAAGAAAAAAAAAAGGTGGAAAACTCGATCTCTATTTCTGGAGGTTAAAAAATTCCCACCCACTGCTCAGCCCCAAAAGTGGTTGAACTGTCAGTGACTGAAAATAGACCTGTTTCAACAGGCCACCCTCCCTCATGCCACCTGATTTGTGGTGCTTGGGTGGGTGGGAGGATGGTGCAGAAATTCATGAAGCTTGCAAGTTAAAACTTAAATAGCAGGAAAGGCGAAAGCTGAGGGGGCTAGCGCTGGGTTATCTGGAGAAGCTGTACCTTAGCATTACCTTTGCTTTTAACTACAGCCTGAGGCAATGGCAAATCTGCCCTAACTCACATTGGTTGATGCTGTGAAGACAGGGAAGTTCTGGGAGAGTTCGGTTCTTTCCTGATCAGAATCTTTAAGTCTTCTTTTTGTCCGAGTAGCTTCCCCACTCCCCTTGGCCTCCTCAGGCCTTGGAGAGCTTTGAAACAACCCTTTGGTTTCATTAAAAAAAAAAAAAAAAAAAAATTGCCTGTAATCCCAGCACTTTGGGAGGCCAAGGTGGGTGGATCACCTGAGGTCAGGAATTTGAGACCAGCCTGACCAATATGGTGAAACCCTGTCTCTACTAAAAATATGAAAATTAGCCAGGTGCGGTGGTGGGCACCTGTAGTCCCAGCTACTTGGGAGGCTGAGGCAGGAGAATGGCTCGAACCCAGGAGGCAGAGGTTGCAGTGAGCCAAGATCATGCCACTGCACTCCAGCCTGGGCAACAGAGCAAGACTCCATCTCAAAAAAAAATTTTTTTTTAATTTTTATGGGGACATGGTAGGTGGATATAGTTATACGGTACATGAGGTGTTTTGATACGGCATGCAATGCATTCTTACATCATGGAAAATGGGGTATCCCCTTTGGCTTCTATTACATGCCCATCTCATTATGAGTGTACGACTCCAGAACAGCAAGCAACCCCAAAGTCATTCACTGGATTTTGAAATCTACTGTGCTCTTTTTTTTTTAACTTCCTAAAGTACAGCCTGTATTCCCAGTTATGCTTGTCGTAGCAGAATCAAATTAACTATACCACGTGACCCTGCAATTCCACTCCTAGGTATATACCCAAAAGAACCGAGTACCGATATCCATACAAATGCGTGTACGTGAATGTTCACTGCAGCACTATTCACAACAGCCAAAAAGTAGAAACAGACTACATGCCCTCAACAGATGAATGGGCAAAGAAGATGTGGTCTATCCATACAATGGAATATTATTCAGCCATTAAAAGGAATGAAGCACTGATCCATGCTCCAGTGTGGATGAACCTCAAAAACGTCACGCTAAGTGAAAGCAGCCAGACACAAAAGGCCACATAGTGTACAATTCTATTTACATGACATGTCCAGAACAGGCAGATCTATAGAGACAGAAAACAGATTAGAGGTGGCCAAGTGCTTGAGGGAGGGAAGAATGGGGAGTGACGACTGCTAATGGGACGAGGTTTCCTTATGAGGTGATGAGAATGTTCTGGAACTAGTGATGATTGCATAACATTGTGAATACACCAAATGCCACTCAATTACATACTTTTAAAATGGGTAGTTTTATGTGATGTAAATTTCGATCTCAATTTTTTTTTTTTTTGAGACAAAATCTTGCTCTGTTGCCCAGGCTGGAGTGCAGTGGTGTGATATTGGCTCACTGCAACCTCTGCTGCCAAGTTTTAAGTGATTCTTATGCCTCAGCCTCCCAGGTAGCTGGGACTACAGGTACCTGCCACCATGCCTGGCTGATTTTTATATTTTTAGTAGAGACGGGGTTGTGCCATGTTTGCCAGGTCTTGAACCCCTGACCTCAGGTGATCTGCCCACCTTGGCTCCCAAAGTGCTGAGATTACACTGGCGTGAGCCACCATGCCCAGCTCCTGCTTTGTTTTCTTTGATTAGTGGATCCTGGGCCAATTTGAGCGCTAGAAGTCAAGCCAGACTGGAGCTAGGGATGTCAGAAATCCCTGGTTCTTTGCCTTCTGATGGAAATTTCGCAAAGCAGGACCTTGGCCAGCTTGGTTCAGTGGACTGTTCTTCTCCCCAGCTCCAATATTAGTTTCTGTCTTTCTTGGTGTTCCTGGAGGTGGTTGGGACGTGGGGAGGACAGAGAAATGGATGTTCATTTTCCCATGTAACAGTTCACTCCCTTTTCTTCCTTACAGTGTTCGAACTGGTCAACCAAGGGTGAGTGTCCCAGCTCCCGGCACGGGTGATGCGAGAAGCTTCACCAGCTGCGTAGCTGAGTGAGGTGCCACCGGGCTCTGCTGGTGAGAGAGGGCAAGGGCCGGGCGGATCTGGTTTGTGTTTCACGCGTGTGTCGACCTTTCAGGCCTGTGATGGAAGTGCCCACCCTCAAACCACTTTCTGAAGACCAGGCCCGTTTCTACTTCCAGGATCTGATCAAAGGCATCGAGTACTGTAAGCGGGGCCCATGGGAGGACTCTCACCCGGCGGGTCGTTAGCGTTACGAGCTGTGGGTGCAAAGTGGAAACTGTCTTATTTTCTTCCTGGAGCACGAGGAGGTGGGTGGGTGGACTGGGGTTCTCTAGAGAGACAGAACTAATAGGATATGGATACACACACACACGCACACGCACGCACGCACACACACACAGAGAAGAGTTTATTTTTTTAATTATTTATTTATTTTTTGAGATGGAGTTTTGCTCCTGTTACCCAGGCTGGAATGCGATGGCATCATCTCGCTCACTGCAACCTCCGCCTCCTGGGTTCAAGTGATTTTCCTGCCTCAGCCTCCTGAGTAGCTGGGATTATGGGTGTGTGCCACCATGCCCGGCTATGTTTTTTTTTTTTTTTGTATTTTTAGTAGAGATGGGGTTTCTCCATGTTGGTCAGCTGGTCTTGAACTCCCGACCTCAGGTGATCTGCCTGCCTCAGCCTCCCAAAGTGCTGGGATTCTAGGTATGAGCCATCGCTCCTGGCTAAGGGGAGTTTATTAAGTATTAACTTACAGGATCACAAGGTCCCACAATTGGCTGTCTGCAAGCTTGAAGAGCAAGGAGAGGAGTCTGTCTGACTCTCAAAACTGAAGATCTTGGAGTCTGATGTTTGAGGGCAGGAAGCATCCAGCATAGGGGAAAGATGCAGGTTGTGGGGGCTAGGCCTGCCTCACCTTTCACGTTTTTTTCTGCCTGCTTTATATTTGCTGGCAGCTGATTAGATTGTGTCCAGCAGATTTTTTTTTTTTTTGAGATGGAGTTTCGCTCTTGTTACCCAGGCAGGAGTGCAATGGTGCGATCTCGGCTCACCGCAACCTCCGCCTCCTGGGTTCAGGCAATTCTCCTGCCTCAGCCTCCTGAGTAGCTGGGATTACAGGCACATGCCACCATGCCCAGCTAATGTTTTGTATTTTTAGAAGAGACGGGGTTTCACCATGTTGACCAGGATGGTCTTGATCTCTTGACCTCATGATCCACCTGCCTCGGCCTCCCAAAGTGCTGGGATTACAGGCGTGAGCCACCACGCCCGGCCCGTGTCCAGCAGATTAAGGGTGGGCCTGCCTTTCTCAGCCCACTGACTCAAATGTTAATTTCCTTTGGCACCACCCACACAGACACACCCAGGATTCATACTTTGTATCCTTCAGTCCAATCAAGTTGACACTCAGTATTAACCATCATAGCAGAAGCAAAATTGTGTGAGATGAAGAATCAGGGCCAGCTGCAGAGAGCCACCCTAGGGCCATGGCCCAGGCAAGCCAAAACCCTTCTTCCTGCCACTCGGAAAAATGAAGAGCAGTAGCAATAGTGACTATTTATTTAGCACTTTCTGTGTGCACTAGGCACTGTTTGGGGCTCTACTTTTTTTTGTCTCTTATTCCTTCCAGCCACCCTGGGATATCAGGGTCCTGTTAACCTCCTGGAACCTTAGTTTCCTCATCTGTAAAATGGGGATAACATATCTCTCACCAGGGCAGAGAGATCAGCCAGTACACATCACAGTGGTGTGATTGGCAGGTGTCCTTTCTGCTTCTGCTTGTTAAACATCTTAGCTCTTTTTTTTTTTTTTTTTTTTTTTTTTTTTTTTCAGATTCTTGCCTGTTGCCCAGACTGGAGTGCAGTGGCGTGATCTCAGCTCACTGCAACCTCTGCTTCCTGGGTCGAAGTGGTTTTTGTGCCTCAGCCTCCAAAGTAGCTGGGATTACATGCACCTGCCACCACGCCCAGCTAATTTTTGTATTTTTAGTAGAGATGGGGTTTTGCCATGTTGACCAGGCTGGTCTTGAACTCCTGACCTGAGCTGATCTGCCGCCTTGGCCTCCCAAAGTTCTGGCAGTACAGGTGTGAGCCACTGCGCCCAGCCATCATGTTAGCTCTTACCCCTGCCTGTCACATAGGATGGTTGGAGGTTTAATTAAATGTAAAATGTGAATGTGAAACACCTAATGCAGGGCTGGACCCCTTACTTGGTGCTCTGCAGAGGGAGCTGCTGCTGCTTTTACAGAAATCATCCTCATGGCAGTTGGGTCTTCCAGGCTGTAGAATTGTCCTGTGCCATGGGCCGATAGCCAGCAAGAGTTAGCCAAGCCCCCAGTTCGGCTGTGTGGTTCACATTTCAAATTGCCCTGCTCAGGTCATTGTTGGTTTGGTAAATCAGCTGAGTGTTGGCTGTTGGTAAATGAAACTATGTTTCACCGTTGGTCTCACTCAGAGCTGGGAGCCAAGCTCAGCGAAAACTTCCCATGCACTTTCACTTGTGCCTTAATAAATAACAGGCGATTACGAACTGCTGTTGGCAGTTTCATGTTCATTGTTGAGAAAGGGTGGGGCGATGGTGAGTTGGTACTTCCTTGAAGACACTCTTTTCCTCTCATCTTTTAGAGCATGTGAGTGCTCAGCAGGTTTGGGGAGGGGAAGGTTGGAAAAGTCCTGTCTGTGGGAGACAAGGCACCAGAGGGTGCCATGCTTGTATCTCCAGGCCATGTGACCACACGGAGGTCCTCACGGGGTTTTCCTGCCCCTGTCTCCCACCTGCTGTCCACCTCTCCCCAGTACACTACCAGAAGATCATCCACCGTGACATCAAACCTTCCAACCTCCTGGTCGGAGAAGATGGGCACATCAAGATAGCCGACTTTGGTGTGAGCAATGAGTTCAAGGGCAGCGACGCTCTCCTCTCCAACACCGTGGGCACGCCCGCCTTCATGGCGCCCGAGTCACTCTCTGAGACCCGCAAGATCTTCTCTGGGAAGGTGAGCTTGGGCCTGCCTCAGCCACAGAGTTCTGCCTGTGTTAGTCTTTTGGGTTTTGAGCAGCAAGAATCCAACTCACCCAGGCTTAAACAGTGAATCCACTGGGTCGTGATACTGAGGTGTAGGCTTCAGGCTTGGCTAGATCCAGGGACTCAAACAGAAACCATCTCTCTCCATCTTTCAGTTGTTTTCCTTATTTGGTTTCCTCTATAGGTGGGTCAGGCACCAAGGGTCCAGGTTACTTTCAATCATTTGCCAACCTCAGTGGCGATAGTGTTCCTCTTTGACTAGCTCCTGCAAAAACCCTGGGGTTGGCTCTGATTGGCCCAACATGGGTCACGTGTCCATGCTTCAACCAATCACTGTGGCTGGGGATACTGGGCCTCTCATTGGCCTGGCCTGGATCCTGTGCCTGTGCCAGAGCCTAGGAGACAGGATTGGTCCCGCCCCAGCTCCAAGGGCTCAGAGTCAAGAGGTGGCTCCCCAAAGGAAAGCTGGAGGACTGGATGCTGGATTGCCCTTTGTGCCCCCACACTAAGCTCTCTTTTTCTTGCAGGCACTGGATGTTTGGGCCATGGGTGTGACACTCTACTGCTTTGTCTTTGGCCAGGTAAGAGGGTGGGGTGTCCCGTCCCCTTGGTGCCACTGGGTGGTCCCTGGACTAATAGTCATCCTTGTGGGGAGACCACACTTACTTATGTAAGAGTTATTTTAGGCCGGACATATTGGCCCACACCTGTAATCTTAGCTACTCAGGAAGCTGAGGCAGGAGAATTGCTTGAACCTGGGAGGTATAGGTTGCAGTGAGCTGAGATCACGCCATTGTACTCCAGCCTGGGCGACAAGAGGGAGACTCCATTTCAAAATAAAATAAAATAAGAGTTATTTTATTTCTACATCTAGATCTCAATGTGAAAAAGGATGCCTTCTTAAATGTATATGTGTGTGTATGTCATAATCTTATCTGTGAAAAAATGATCTGTTAAAACAGAAGGATTGGCAGAGGCTCTAGAGTTTATAAATAGTTGATAAATTTAAGGCAAAGAGAGCAATTGTGCCACCTCTCCCATTTCTGAGCCCAAGACAGACATCACTGATCAATAACTATGCTCATTCCTCCTGAGCCTGATACTGCTCCGATGTTTTTTCCATCAGGGTATTCCTAGAAGCTACTGTCAGAGGGGTAGCATTGGAATACACATTAAAAGCTGTTTACCGTTATTGATTTAGGGAGTGCTGTTTGGGCTTTTCTGTTGCTGTTATTGTTATTATTGATATCTTTTTTTTTTTTTTGAGATGGAGTCTTGCTCTGTCACCCAGGCTGGAGTGCAGTGGTGTGATCTTGGCTCATTGCAACCTCCACCTCCTGGGTTCAAGCGATTCTCCTGACTCAGCCTCCCAAGTAGCTGGGACTACAGCTGCCAGCCACCACGCCCAGCTAATTTTTGTATTTTTGCAGAGATGGTTTTTTGGCATGTTGGCTGGGCTGGTCTCAAACTCCTGACCTCAAGTGATCCGCCCACCTTGGCCTCCGAGAGTACTGGGATTTGGGATTACAGGTCTGAGCCACTGCACCTGGCCTTCTCGTTTTAACTCTGAAGTTCGGTTTGATTATGTGAGCAATAAAAATGTAGATTTTTCCCTTTCCTGAGCTTGTGTTCTTATTGAGGAAAGCTTAAGAAACCTATGAAGAAATAAAGGAGTTTATAACGATTGCCTCTCAGTATTTGATGAGAAGATTTTTCAATCATACAGCGAAGCTGGCAGAATTGTGCAGTGAACACCCACATACCCACCACCTGGATTCTACTGTTAACCTTTTCCTGTGCTTGTCTGTTCATTCCTTACTCAACCCTCAGTCCATCTGGTTTCTTAATGTATTTCAGAGTAAGTTACCACCGTCTCTGCTCTTCCTTCCTAACGCTTTAGGAGGCAGTGATTAGCTAGAGCTCAAGTCGCTGCTCTTAATGAAATCGTTTTCCTTAGACAGGGGTGGTTCAGGTACCTCTCTGCCACCTTTTCCACCATTTCAGTGCCCCATATAAAGCTTCCTTTTCCAGCACACATAACTGAGTTCCTCTTGAGTCAGGCCCTCGGCTGGGTGAAAGCTTCAATTTGTCACCCAGAAGGCGGTGCAGAAATAGGCTTTGGAGTTAGCTGAATCTAGGCTTACGTCACTCTTTGTACTTCCTGGGACACGTTATTTCTCTGAACTTCTGTTTTTCTCTTCTGTAAAATGAGAATACTCCTTATGATTTCTGATGGCTTCTGAGAGGATTGACAGAAATAATTCAAGTGTCCATTAATTCAGCAGCTATTTATTGAGCCCTTACTCTGTGCCAGGAATGCCCTTAGGCATGGGAGAGTTTGCAGTGAGCAAGACAGACAGAAATCCCTGCTTTCTTGGAGCTGACATTCCCGTGGGAGGAGTTAAACAATAAACAAGGCTGGGCGTGATGGCTCATGCCTGTAATTCCAGCACTTTGGGAGGCCAAGGCGGGTGGATCACGAGGTCAAGAGATCGAGACCATCCTGGCCAACATAGTGAAACCCCGTCTCTACTAAAATACAAAAATTAGCTGGCTGTGGTGGCGCACGCCTATAGTTCCAGCTACTCGGGAGGCTGAGGCAGGAGAATTGCTTAAACCCAGGAGGTGGGGGTTGCAGTGAGCCGAGATCACACCAGTGCACTCCAGCCTGGTACCTAGCAACAGAGCAAGACTCTGTCTCAAAAAGCAAACAAACAAAAATAAACCAATAAACAAATCTGTACCATAACATCAGGGATAAGTGCTACGATGGGATAGTGTGGGCAGCGGTGGTATTGGGGGTTGTGTGTTTTAGACAGGGGTGCAGGAAGGTCTCCCTGAGATGGCGAGCTTTAGTCAAATACCTGCATGGTGGGAGAGACCAAGCCATTTAGATATTGGTGGGAAGAACATTGCAGGGAGGGGGAACAGTGAATAAAAGCCCCAGGGCAGGGCATGGCGTGGTCCAGGCTACACCCTTGCCTGTCAGTGCTGCTGCTGCTGCGGAGCTTCTGTCTTGTTCTGGTGTTTCTGCTGCTCACCTGGCAAGAGGGTGATGAGCAGCGTTTGCTTTGGTGTAAGTAGGCAAACTGAGGCCCAGCTACAGAGGGAGGCTGCAGTGTGCTTGGGAAAGGCTCTAGCCCTTTGAGAAGGACACTCCTGGGCATTTCTGGCTCTGCCCAGCCTCGGCCGGGCCCCACAGCCCTGTGTCTGCGCCATTCTCAGGGAGAATGGGAACTGTCTGCTCCCCAGCCTGGGCCGCAATTGTTGGTTTCTCGGCTATTTCCTATGTGGAGTGATACAGCATGGGTGGCCGCCGTGGACCGTCACTCTGTCCCTGGTCTCTTCGCAGTGCCCATTCATGGACGAGCGGATCATGTGTTTACACAGTAAGATCAAGAGTCAGGCCTTGGAATTTCCAGACCAGTGAGTATCTCCCGCCATCCTGCGTCACCTCCCGGTCCGAGTTCTTGGCAGTCATGTGTCTCCCACGCCTGATGTGTCTCCCACCCTGACATGTCTCCATCTGCAGGCCAGATATAGCTGAGGACTTGAAGGACCTGATCACCCGTATGCTGGACAAGAACCCTGAGTCAAGGATCGTGGTGCCGGAAATCAAGGTACCCTTGGCTCGGCCAGTGCCCGTGCTTGGAACTGTTTGGCTCAGCTCTGCCTCAGCCAGGCCCCACACCCTGTGTCCACAGCACCACACCCTCTTTGGCACTGCTGTTTTCCCAGGCCCCGGGGCCTCTGAGCTGCTGGGGGTTCTGTTGAGGGTTGGGGAAGAAGATGTGGGCGGAGTGTGCACTGTGCTTGTGGAGTGGGATCTGTGACCGACCAGCCTGCACTTGCTCCGATTGGTGTGGGCCAACGGGATCCACCCACCGCCAGCCAGCCTGGGGCCCTGTGCTCCACTCCCTGCTGCCGGAACTCGGGTCCTTTCCAAAGGCCAGTCCCTTTGAGAAACTGCAGTGAGGATGGGAGGAAATTAGTGAGCAATTCTACCTCCCCAGCCTACTGAAGTCCACCGTCTTGCAGGAAGCACTTTTAGGAAAGCGTCCTCCCCAACACATCCCCACTAATGCCACACGCATACATCTGGCCCTTTAAGAAATCTAGAGAAAAGAAAAAAAAGAATGAAAAAAAGAAATCTAGAGATCGGCCGGGCACAGTGGCTCACGCCTGTAATCCCAGCACTGTGGGAGGCTGAGGCGGGTGGATCACCTGAGGTCTGGAGTTTGAGACCAGCCTGGTCAACATGGTGAAACCCATCTCTACTAAAAAATACAAAAATTAGCCAAGTGTGGTGGTGGTCACCTATAATCCCAGCTCCTTGGGAGGCTGAGACAGGAGAATCACTTGAACCCAGGAGGCAGAGGCCGCAGTGAGCCGAGATCATACCAGCTTGGGCAACAGAGCAAGACTCCATCTCACAAAAAGAAAAAGAAATCTAGAGATTTGCCTGGGGACCTTCTAGGTGCCTAGCTAACCAGCGTTTGAAGGTGTCTTAACAGGAGGCAGCCCAGAAAGTAATTTTAGGTTTAGGGCTTGGACCCAAGGGACAGACCGCTGTGTGGGTCCTCTCCTGATCGTGTCCTGCGGGCTGGTCTCACTGTGCCTGCCAGCATCTGTCTCCCCTGCTGTGAGGTGGGGAGAATGCCGCCTGCCATGTGCCGAACCTCCCTGGTGTCAGGGATTGTGGCTGAGGCGTGATGGAGGCTCCTGGGGCAGCCAGGCAAGGCAGATGCCAAATTCCAGCCACTTCGGCCAAGACCTGGGGCTGGATGGAGAATCGCCCTGCTCCCGTTTCAGCCTCCAAGCTCCTCCTGTCCTGTCTCTCCGTCTTCACGTTCCACCCCTTTGCTCACCCCGCCCTCTGCTCGCCAGCTGTCTTGCATGCCTGACCACAGGCCCTCGCCTCTCCCTCCTGCATGCCCTCGTGTCTCCGCCCGCTGGCAGGGTCCTCCGGGAGCCAGCCGCGCCCGCCCCTCACCCCTCCTGTCGTTCATTGAAGCTGCACCCCTGGGTCACGAGGCACGGGGCGGAGCCGTTGCCGTCGGAGGACGAGAACTGCACGCTGGTCGAAGTGACCGAAGAGGAGGTCGAGAACTCAGTCAAACATATTCCCAGCCTGGCGACCGTGGTAAGGTGGCCGGACCCCTGACCAGAGCAGGGACCCAGGAGCCTGAGGTGGGGCCTGGCCTGGACAGGCAGGACACAGGCGGGTGCCTGGGAGTCAGGAGATGGCTGGGGGCCGCCCCTAACCCACAGCTGCTGGCCTCTGGGCCTCGGTCACACATCAGGCCAGGTGACCCCTGCATCTTCTGAGCCAGGTTCCATGTTACCATAGGGAGGGGGGAGTTTCTCCTTCTGGAATTCCTGCTTTCAGAGCTTATCAGGGGAGAGTAACTAGAAGTGCCAGGCAGGAGCAAGGGCTGGGGCCGGGGCTGAGGTCGCTAAGCCGGGATTCCCACCTGGCTGGACTTTCAGGCTCCAGGGTGGATGGTGTAGCACATCTCACGCCTGCTGTGTGGGCAGCCACCAGGAAAGTTCTGCCCATCTCCTGAGGGTGGGATTTTGCTTAGGAGCTGCCAGGTCCCTTTTTATGGCCTTGAATTTGGATCCTGACCCGGGAAGAAGCAGCCAGAATGTCAAGTCCTCAGGCCTAACCTGGGAGGCTTTGGGAATTGCCACTGATCAAGTCCCTGTCCAGGAGGGCAGCTAGCTCCAAGAGGGAGGCCAGGAGTCCTGGGGGTCCAGGCTCTAGGCAGCAGGCCTGGGGACAGAGACCAGCAGGTTGTCCTACCACAGCCACTTCGAAAGGCCTGGTTGCAGTTGGCCAGCACTGGTCCCAGGGGCCGGTAGGACCTGGGCTCTGGGAGGGACCCGTGAGACTGACTGCAAAGGCACAGAAGGTCCACCTGAGAGAGACTGGCCCTGTAGGGTCCCGGGTGCCGCCCTCTCCCCCAGCTTGGCAGCTCTCCTCTCTTCTTCCCCACACACTTGCTCTCTTCTCCTTCCAAAGCTGAGCCCTGGCTGGGGCATCCATCCACATCTTCCTCCACTCCTTCCCCCCGGGGCTGCGCATGACCTTCACTGCTGAAGACTCACTCACCCCCACGCACCCTTCCTCAGCCACCCGCCCACCCCCTGTGCCTGTAGATGGGGAGACAGCTGGCGTCGGACCCTGCACCCACTGTGGGTTACTCTGTTCCAGGCTTGGGATGTACCAGTCCTGAATCAGTTGCCCTCCCTTTCCTCCCCAGCTCTCAGCTGCAGGTTCTTGGGAAAACGTGTCTGACCCTGGAGGTCTGGAGTAGGCATTCATTATTCGGGAAACACTTGTGGAACACCAGGCTGGGAGCAGGGGCTAGGTGATGAGCAAACCCCCATGGCCTCTGCCATGCTTGCGAGGCAGATGCTGGTCAAACCAGCAAATGTATGTACAGCGTGAGACACGCCCCTAATGGAGGGACACCTGGCCCCACTTGGAAGAAGTGGATAGACACCGAAAGATGGTAGGGTGTTAACGCCGCCGAGAGAGGGCGGAGGGGGCTAACACACCCGGGCAGGGCCACTGAAGCAGGGCAAGGAAGTGGCGGGGAGGGTGTGGCGAAGTTTTACATCTTCACTCTAAGAGCCATGGGTTCGAATCAGGGCAGCTGGAGCAGGGATGGGCAAGTAGATACTGGGAAAGGGTCTCACTCGGAACAGGATTGCAAGGTATAGGCCCCCTCCATGTGTTCATCATTCAGGAAACACGGAGCAGCAGCATGTGCCAGGCACAGGTGTCAAAGATGAGCATGGCCCAGTGCCAGCTCTCGGGGGTCAGGGGGCGGAGCTCCTTGCCTTATATGAAAGCTGGACCTGGGAAGAATCAGCCTCTGTTGCGATCAGAGGTGCGAGGGCTGGGGGCTTCACAGAGGGGGAGTTCCTGCCCTGAGTTGACAAGGCCACAGGGGAGGTGGCAGGGCAGGCTCACCTGGGGAAGTGACACCTGCCCAGGCTCAGAGGAAAGAGGGGCTGGCGTATCCCAGTGACTGTAGGTAGGAACCTCAGCAGGGGAAGAGGCCTTCATTCCCAAAGTTGGTGCTGCTTTTTTTCTTTCTTTCTTTTTTTTTTTTTTTTTTAGGTGGAGTCCTCCATCGCCCAGGCTGGAGTGCAATGACACGATCTTGGCTCACTGCAACCTCCGCCTCCTGGGTTCAAGCAATTCTCCTGCCACAGCCTCCTGAGTAGCTGGGATTACAGGTGCCCATCACCACGCCCAGTTAATTTTTGTATTTTTAGTAGAGACGGAGTTTCACCATGTTGGCCAGGCCGGCTCAGGTGATCTGCCTGTCTCAACCTCCCAAAGTGCTGGGATTACAGGCGTGAGCCACCACACCCAGCTCCCACCTTCTTTTAAATGGAGGTAGAATTCACATAAAATTAAAGTCAGTGGCATTTGGGACATTGTCAGTGGCGTGCAGTTATCCCCTCCACAGTTCTGAACATTTTCATGACTTTACACCCTCGTCCATCAGCAGTCACCCTCCATTCCCCTCCCCCCAGCCCTGGCACCGACTCCCCTGCCCTTTGTGTCTATAGATTTCTGTATTCCGGTGGAATCCTACACTGTGTGGCCTTTTGGGCCTGGCACTGCTGCAGCCTGGATCAGTGCTTCATTCCTTTTATGGCTGAATCATGTTCCTTCACATGGACAGACCACTTTGAGTTTATCTGTTCTTCATTTGATGGGCATTTGGGTGTTTCCACCTTTTGGTAAATCAATGTGTCTAAAAAAGAAACTTTTTTTTTTTTTTTTTTTTTTTTGAGACAGTCTTGCTCTGTCGCCCAGGCTGGAGTGCAGTGGCACAGTCTCGGCTCACTGCAACCTCCACCTCCTGGGTTCAAGCCATTCTGCTGCCTCAGCTTCCTGAGTAGCTGGCACTACAGGCGCATGCCACCACTCCTGGCTAATTTTTGTATTTTTAGTAGAGACAGGGTTTCACCATATTGGCCAGACTGGTCTCGAACTCCTGACCTTGTGATCCGCCTGCCTCAGCCTTCCAAAGAGCTGAGATTACAGGTGTGAGCCACCGTGCCTGGCCTCAATGTTTCTTAAACACTTATTTTTCTTGTTAGCAGCAAATGCTTAAAAAGTCAGAAGCTCAGTGAATTCCTGAAACAGTTGAAGGGGCACCTTCAAGGTGGGGGTGGGGTGAGGGGCCCAGTGACTCTTATGGGGTCCGCAGGCCGTTCTTTTCATGGGAAATGGCAGCCAAGAGCATCACCAAGGCTGATTGTTCACGCCCTTGCTCCAGAACTTTCTGGGGCTCTCTGGCTGGCCACAGGCCAAGTTCCAGACCACTCTGGGTGAGGATTCTGAGTCAGGGAGTGAGGGGACCAGATCTGGGTTTTGGAAGGAATGGGAGGGAGGGAAGTGCAAAGCAGGAGGTCTGGGAGAGGCGCTGAGCAGTGGCTGAGGGGTGTGGTGCAGGACGCGCCTTTTCCCAGAGGATTCTCTCGGCAGGGGTTGGTGGGGGACTGTTTCCCAGCCAGGCTGCCTATGTGGTCTGTGTTTAGTATGGGCAGAGCTGGGCCACCATCGAGGCCAGCCCCCATCGTCTCTCAGAAACACCTTCTAGGGTGGCCAAGCTCTTCTCCTCACACCACACCAGCTTGTGACCTGGCCATCCTCAGCGTTCTGGGATGTTTCCCGTCCCCGACTAAGACACAGCGCCCTGAGAAACTGGTACCCTGGTGTGTTGCTGGGGGGAATGTAAAATGCTGTGGCTGCTGTAGGAGACAGTCTTATATTTCCTCAAGGTGTTCAACATAGAATTACCACGTGACCCAGAAATGCCTCTCCTTGTCTGTGCCCAAGAGAAATGACATTTTGTGTGGGTAACATGTTTATACCAAAATTCATGCATGAATGTTCATAGCAGCGCTATTCACAGTAGCCAAAGGGTAGGAATGCATGTCCATCGGTAGATGAACTGAGAAGCTGAATGTGGTCCATCTGTGCAGAGTGTTACTGTTGGGCCACAGAAGGCAGCGAAGCACTGATCACGCTCCAGCACTCAGGAGCATGACGCTCAGAGAGAAGCCGGACACAACAGGCCACGTGTGGTATGATTTCATCTATAGGAAGGTCCCGGATGGGTCAGTGTGCACAGACAGGGAGCTTAGTGGTCACCAGAGGCTGGAGGAAGGGTGAGTGGGGTGTGCGTTGCTAACAGGCTTGGGGTGTCTTTTTGGGGTAATGCAAATGTTCTGAAATTAGATAGCGGGGCTGTGAATATACTAAAAACCACTGAATCATGTACTTTATGATGGTGGGAGCCAGGCCTGGTGACTCATGCCTGTAATCCCAGCATTTTGGGAGGCCGGGGTGGGCGGAATGCCTGAGGTCAGGGGCTCAAGACCAGACTGGCCAATATGGTAAAACCCCATCTCCACTAAAAATACAAAAATCAGTTGGGCGTGGTGGCAAGTGCCTGTAGTCCCAGCTACTTGGGAGGCTGAGGCAGGATAATCCCTTGAACCTGGGAGGCGGAAGTTGCAGTGAGCTGAGATTGCACCACTGCACTCCAGCCTGGGTGACAGAGCAAGACTCCACCTCAAAAAAAAAAATAGTGTATGTCATGTGAATTATATTTTGATTTTTGTTTTTTTCAAACCCGTGTATTTTTTTTTCTCTATTTCAATAGGTTTTTGGGAGCAGGTGGTGTTTGGTTACATGGATAAGCACTTTAGTGGTGATTTCTGAGATGTTGGTGCGCCTGCTACCTGAACAGTATACACCGCACACAGTGTGCAGACTTTTATCCCTCACCCATCCTCCCACCCTTCCCGCCAAGTCCCCAAAGTCCATTGTGTCATTCTTAGACCTTTGCGTCCTCATAGCTTAACTCCCACTTGTAAATAAGAAGATATGATGTTTGGTTTTCCATTCCTGAGTTACTTACTTTTGTATGTCTCAATTTGAAAAAGCAGCCCGACTCTCAGAATCATACCTAGGAGGCAATAGTTTCTCGCTGCGGTGGTCATAGACAGCTTTCACCAAAAATAAAGGCCTCGCCTTAAAGATGAGACAGGCTGAGGGGCCTGGGGAGCCTATCCAGCCGTGGCTCCCGTGAGACAGAGGTGCCAGTGTGCCTGAGGGATGGCCCACTCTCCTGGAGCACAGGCCTGTGGGGGTTGGTGAGGCAGGGACTAGATGATGACCAGCCTTGAATGTCAGACCAGGGGGTTGGGACCTTATCTTGATGGCAGCCAGGGAGCCACAGGAGGTTTTGGAACAAGTCAGACTTAAGGATGGCTCTGTCACATGCACCCAGGTGGGAAGGACATTGCCAGTTTCTCTCAAAGGCCTGCCATAGGCCACTAGCCCTGGGAGCTGGCAGGGGCTGGGGAGAAGGAAGAGGGAGGGTGTTGCCTGGAATCGCCCCCACCTGCCAGGCAGTCACCTGCCACCTCCTCTTTTCTCCCTCTTCAGATCCTGGTGAAGACCATGATACGGAAACGCTCCTTTGGGAACCCATTTGAGGGCAGCCGGCGGGAGGAGCGCTCGTTGTCAGCGCCTGGAAACCTGCTCACGTGAGTGGCTGACTGCCTTCTTGGGTGGGGTAGTGGGTGGCTGGAGGCTGAGCTTGGGGCAGCCCTGCCCATCCCACTTTGCACAGGCCCTCCCTGAAGTGGTGCCATCTGGAGAGACTCAAATGAAAGCCGCCTGGTGCACCGGGGCAGTCAGCACCCCTTCCTGGGCTCAGCCCACCCCCTTTTGCTGATGGCTAAGCCACCTGAAGTTTACCTTTCTCGGGGACTTGCACCGTAGTTGGAGGTGCTCTGCGTGGTCGGAAGGAAAGCACTTTTCTGGGCCGGGGAGTGTGAGTGCCTGAGTGGGAGGTTGAGGCTCTGCGATGCGTGAGTGAGCAGTGTGGTCTCACTCAGGACCCCATGTGTCCAGGCGGAGAGGTGTCCACTCATGGGCTGTCAACACCATCCTGGCTCCAGCTCTCTGAAGCTGGTGTTTGGGGTGTGAGTGTCTCTGGGGTGGGGGAACGGGCATCCCATGGATCCCAAGGTTCCCTTCTCATGTCCCTTTTCCCTCCCTCTGGTGATTCCAGCAAAAAAACAACCAGGGAATGTGAGCCCCTGTCTGAGCTCAAGGTAATGCCTGCCTGCCTGTGCCGTAGCCTCTGCTGGGGTCTGGGGGTGGGGGCAGCTGCAGAGCACGGGGCATCCCCACCTAGGCAGATGTTCCTTCCAGCCTGGGCCGCTGTGGCCAGGCTCACCACGGGCCTCCAGACCCAGTATTAGAACGAGGGGCCTCGGGGGCTTGGACCCGATGGTGAGTCATGCATGTGGGCTGGGGCTGCGGGTGCATGGCGCTCCAGCTGGAATGCCTGCGGATGCACCCAGGTCTGAAGACCCCTGTGGCACACACGTCTCCTCAGTGCACGTCAATGGCATTGAAGCTCTGTCATGGGGCCCATGGGTGCCCCAGCGAGTCCGCATGGTCAGAGCATAGGTCAGGCATGCTGCACTGCGTGGCTCTTCGCTCAGGGCTCTCTGGCCTCCATTCTTCTTTCTCTGATGTGTTTAGATCTAGAAAATAAATCCCCTTCCTGCCTGTTGCAAAGTAATGTAAGCGTTCTGTCACCCAAGTGGGATGCAGACCTTCTTGCTGTCAGCCACGCTTCCTTCACACACATACCCAGCCCGGTGACCAGAACCTCCCAGGACAGATGAGGCTTTGTGTCCTATGAGACTGGGGGAATCTGCTGGGCACCCCTGCTGCAGGTGCCATGGTGGGTGGGGACCCCACTGTCCTTCCCACTGAGCCCATCCGTCGTAGCCACCTGATTCGGTGGGCGCTCCAGGCAGTCTCTTCTTTTTCTTTCTTTCTTTTTTTTTTGAGATGGAGACACCCTCTGTCTCCCAGGCTGGAGTGCAGTGGTGCAATCTCGGCTCACTGTAACCTCCGCCTCCCGGGTTTAAGAGATTCCTCTGCCTCAGCCTCCCAAGTAGCTGGGACTACAGCTAATTTTTGTATTTTTAGTAGAGACGGGGTTTCACCATGTTGGCCAGGATGGTCTCGATCTCTTGACCTCATGATTCACCCACCTTGGCCTCCCAAAGTGCTGGAATTACAGGTGTGAGCCACTGCGCCTGGCCCTGTTTCTTGAAAATAGCTTTATTGAGGGTATAATTCACATACCATGTCATTCACCCATGGGAAGTGTACGATTCAGTGCTTTCTGATACAGTCAGAGTTCTGCAGCCATCACCACCATCAACTTTAGGAGATTTTCATCAGCCCAAGAAGACACCCTACACTCCTGAGCTGTTCCCATCCAACTCCCCCACGCCAGCAACCACTCACCTTTTAATTTGCTATGGATTTGCCTATCCCGGACATTTCATATAAATGGCATCATACACTACGTGGCCTTTTGTGTCTGGCTTCTTTCACTTAGCATCGTTTTCGAGGTTCATCCATGCTTTATGTGCATTAGTGCTTCACGTCTTTTTGTGGCCAAATAATATTCCATTTTCCATTGTATGGACACGCCTCACTTTGTTCATCCATTCACCTGTGGATGGACTTGTCTCCACCTTTTGGTTCTTGAATGCAGACTGATGCTATGAACATTGGCGTACAGGTGTCAGGAGTTGGCTTACGAGATGCAATGGATTGGCCACCCATCCCGTGGGAGTAGGGAGTCAGGGCTTATGTGGTAATCTGGGAGGAGCAGCTGTTTGGGAATTATTTATGCTTTTGAGACAAACCTTGCCCTCCAGCATAGAGCAGGGAAAATGGCAATCCCTCAGAGCCAGTCTTCAGCACCTCAGAGGCGGACAGAGTCCCCCACCTTGTGCCCAGACAGATGCCTGGGCAGCCCGGCCCTGGGTGTGAGCCTCACGGGACGATGGAGTGGAAACCCAGTGGGTTGGCCTGTCCTCGGCCTTCCTCCTCTCAGTCTCCATTTTAGGGTCTGCCACCAGACTGGGGCTACCTCCCGTCTGGGAGCAAGTCTGCCAAGTCTGCTGTTGGTTTCTTTTCTATTTTCTTTTTTGAGAGAAGGCCTTGCTCTGTCACCCAGGCTGGAGTGTAGTGGCATGATTTCGGCTCACTGCAACCTCTGCCTCCTAGACTCAAGTGATTCTCCTGCCTCAGCCTCCTGCATAGCCGGGATTACAGGTGCTCGCCACCATGCCTGGCTAATTTTTATATATTTTTTAGTAGAAACGGGGTTTCCCCATGTTGGCCAGACTGGTCTCGAACTCCTGACCTCAGGTGATCCGCCTGCCTCAGCCTCCCAGAGTGCTGGGATTACAGACATGAGCCACCGTGGCTGGCCCTATTTTCAATGAGATCAAAATTGCAAGACAGCAGCAGATGGAGATTGGCTCAAAGGGCTGTACCGCCCCTTCCTCCCCTCACCTGGGATCCCCTGCCCTCAGCCCCCAGCAGGTGGGATGCCTTGGTCTTGGGAGCTCACAGAGCTGATTCAGGCATTGGGGGTCTTGGACTGGAGGCCCCTCTGCCATCTACAATAAGACCCAGCCCCTACCCACAGGCAATGCAAGGGTGGAGACTGAAGGCCTAGCCTGATGTCTTGTTACAGTGCCTCCTCCCCGGGATCTTCCCCGCCTTTTTCATCAGAAACATAGCAAGCCAGACATGATGCTTTCTCTTCCCTTGTGTAAGGACAGGCTCCCGCCTGGACAGGAGACACAGATTGCTGTTGGGGAAGGACAGACAGTGACCCATGTGGCATGCCCAGTGGCCTCCCTAAGATCGGGGGAGCTGTGTGATGCTGGTGAGGGGATGGGCCCCTCCTTGGGGATTCCCCTCGTACCTGTCACACCATCCACGCTGTCACACCTCGCTGTCACACCTGCGGCTCTAGCCTGGGCTCTTCAGGGACACAGGGTCTCTCCTCCCCCGACTTCCAGGAAGGAAGGAGCCTCCTCTTCTGTCTGAGGGGGTCCTCCCCCAGGACTGGCTGTGGGAGGGCTGAGGCGGGAGGATCACTGGAGGAGTTGTCAGCAGCCCTTTCCTGAGGGCCAGCAGTGTGCCAGGCCGGGGGGAGGCCCTGATCACCCCCCCACACACATACACACAAGGAACTCAACAGCTGGTGACTGAGGACAGTGTCACAGTCCCTTCCCTGCTAGAGCTCATAACCTAGGTGGGGGTCGAGGTACCTAAAAACCTGGCATGACAGGCACCGTGGGGTGGGGTGGGGGCACGTTCTACTTGGGATTTGTGCAGTGATTCTTGGTGTTACATAGTTTTGCAACTGTTGTACAGCTCCTTGCTAATTTTGGCAGATGATGCTGGTCTTTCATTTACAGAGGGGTTGGCTGCAAAGTCTTCTTTGAAAAATGTATGTGAGCAAAGAAAAGGGGGAGAGGATCTCAAAGACTGGGTTATGTAGATCATGTTCCGGGGGTGTGCGAGGGCTCACTTGGGCAGGGGGGCCCAGATGTGCGAGCAGCTGGCTCAAGAGCCTCGCTGGCGTATCTTGGAGTCTTAACGTTGGTTTTCTGTTCGGTGAGCAGGAAGCAAGGCAGCGAAGACAACCTCCAGGGCACCGACCCGCCCCCCGTGGGGGAGGAGGAAGTGCTCTTGTGAAAGGCAGCCCCTGTGTGGAAAGTTGCGGGGCCCCTGCCCCCGGCTCCCCCGCACCCATGCATCCACCGCAGCTGGAGGAGGCGATGGAGTCCGAGTAGCTGCCTGGACCGCTCGACCTCGCATGCACGCCGCGTCGCCTCTGCGGGGCTGCTACACCCGCGTTTCCATAGCAGCATGTCCTACGGAAACCGAGCACGTGTGTAGAGCCTTGATCGTCATCTCTGGTTATTTGTTTCTTCCTTTGTTGTTTTAAAGGGGAAAAAAAAAAAAAAAAAAGGACTTGACTCCGTGACGTGGACCTTGGCCGCTGGCTGGCTGAACAGGCAGGTGTGAGGAGTTGCAGACCCAAACCCATGTGCATTTTGGGACAGTTGCTTTTTAAAACGTTTTTATGCCAAAAATCCTTCATTGTGATTTTCAGGACCGTGTCAGATAGACCAAGTGAGTGTGTGTGGGGTTTGACAACTGTGGGAAAGTGAGCAGAAAACTCCGACGGTCTGAGGCCATGGAGGTGGTTGCTGCATTTGAGAGGGAGTAGGCGGTTAGATGTGGCTCCTTGCGCAAACCCAAACCGTGGCACCTTCCAGAGTTGTGGACTCCAGGAGGCAGAGTGGGGCTGGCCCTCAGTAACTGCAGGGAGCTCTGATGCAACTTATTTCTAAGAAGGATTTTTAAATTTTTTTTATGGGTAGAATTGTAGTCAGGAAAACAGAAAGGGCTTGAAATTTAGTAAGTGCTTCTAGAAGGGGATTTTCCAAGCCTGGAAGGGTATTTGGCAGCTGTGGAGGGAAAAGTTTCTCCTGAAAGACTGAACGTGTTTCTTCATAACAGCCGCTGAAAGCAGGTTTCTGAGATAGTTGACCAAGCTCTGGTAAATCTCTTTGACAGCTTACAAAAACTTCAGGTGAAATCCTATGCTTCCATGTACATTACAAGGCTTACGATTAAACAAAAAATATTTTCAAGTCTCTAACTAAACTCTAGAGCACAGTAGTTCAGAAATGATTTAGAGCTTCCAGGATCTAGTTCACGGCTCAGGCATGTGATCAGTTAGAGCCGATGAAACCTATGCCTGTCTGTATATATTAGCAGCTTAGCTAGTTCATAAACTGTGTATTCTAGAGACCGCTAAGGTTTTGTTTTCATTTTAAGTCCTAGCTGATTGTTGTGGTCAATGAAATACCCAGTTTCTGGAGGGCCAGTTGGGAAATGCTTTCACTGGACTGACACACAAGTGATCCTCCTGAGGATCTGAGCTTCCCTAGACTCCATACAGTAACCTTGGCACCCTTTTAGAGAAGACGGTTAAAACCCACAGCACTCCTCAGGGCATGAGGAAACCAGGGCTGGGCACGGGAAGTTCCCCTTTGTAGCTAAAAGTCCAGAAAGGCAGGGTTCATCTTTTTGACTTCCAATTAATATTGGGAAGTTTGGTTGAGGTTCCAGTGTGACTCCTTTCAGAGCTACGGGTGGGGGAGGGTGAAACTGAGGGGGAGGAAAGCTGGAAAGACTCCGCCCTGGGAGATTCCCAGCTCTGCTTTCCAGCGCTTGGCAGAATCTGAGTTGGGGAAAGACCGTACCAGGAAGTGGGTTCGGAAGACTTTGCTTCCCCGTTGTTTCCACCTGATCAGCCCTGGTGTGAGGACTTCTCAGACGAAGGCAAGGCCTTATACCCCTGCCCAGCCGGTTCATAGAGCTCTGGGTATTCTTGGCTTCCATAGATCCTAACTAAGCTCTTGACTGTAGTTTAGCCAGACTTTTCTTGTTATCTTATAAGCAGTTCAGAATTAGGGAATGCTGGCTTTGAAGAGCAAAGGACAGGTCGTCTAGAGAGTGTCATCTGGCCTGCTTGCTGGGTCTTTTGTCATCCAGCACTTCCTCTTGCACTTCTTCTTTACATTTATGGGAAAGGACTCAATGGCCCCAGCCCCCCTGGCACTAGATGGGGCTTGGCTAGTTTGCAATAAGCACCTTGCAGAGGTTAAAGCCATCAGGTCCCTAGTCCGAGGCCCAGCCTGCCTGTGGGCTCTGGCCTGGCCTGGTGGCTGGCCCAGGGGGCGGCAGCGCTCAGAGCTTCTGCAGGGCTTCTCTTGTTTACACAGCTGCATCCGACAATGCCATTTCTCCCCACCATGGAAATTTCCATCTAAGATTTCTTCCGGGGAATGCCAGCAATCAGGCAGCACCCAGCTGTTGGGGCAGTGGGGTGGGAGAGGCCCACATTGATGACTTTTTTTTTTTATACGAAGAAACACCAAAGAAAGCTGTGGAAAGGACCTGTCCCACCTGAAAAGGATAAGCCAAGATGGCTGTAAACACAAAGCATTTGAGCTACACTCTCTCTCGGAGCACACTGATTTTTCAAATGCCAGCTCTGTCGGGAAAGGAGGCGCTGTTATGAGCAGCTCTTCCAGTGGGCACAGAGGACGCCCATCATTTCCTCCATTGCTGGCTCATCTGTGGGACCAATCTGGTGTAAGCAACCTGTGGCCTGCACCTGTGGCCTCGAAGGAAGCACAAACCATCCACTTTCCATTTCCTCGGCCCTTTTCCACCGCCCCCTTCCATGCCACCAGTTGCCAGTGGCTCCCAGAAAGCCTTATCGAGCCCCTTGTTGACACTTGGGGCTGCAGAGGCCTCTCCCCACTGGTCTGGCCTTTCCCGAGAGGCAGGGCTCCCATCCTCGGCCTTTCTGGAACAAGATGCCTGTGCAGGTGGATACACAGGCCTGGTTTGTTGCTGTCACTCGTCTTCCAGTGGGGAGCTTCCAGTGGGGAGCTTCACGTTGCCGAGTGGAAGAATCATGACCTCCACTTGCTTCCAAGGTGCTAGGGAAGTTTCAGGGTATGCTGGTTCCCCGCTCCAGCTGGAGGCCGAGTTTCTGGGGACTGCCAACTTTTCTACTCTATGATTGATTCAACGCCCGATGCTTCTGTTTGTTTCCTAACCCTTTCTACTATGCATTTTCCTTTTATCAGGTGTGCAGAGTTAAATACTGTGTATTTATCACTAAAAAGTACATGAACTTAAGAGAAAAATAAGCCCTTGGTGTTTTTCCACAGATGTTTAAGCTTCTCTGTAAAGTTGAAATAAATAGCAAAATGGTGCAAAGCCGGGGCCTGTTTGGGATGTTTGTGTTGGTGGTTGCGTTTGTGTTGGTGGTTGTGTACTCAGGCTGTCTGTCCTGATGTGTGTATTCCTGCCTCAGGCTGACAGCAGGGTCAGATGCCCAAGTCAAAGCTACTATATTTGGCAAATCTCGAATTGACAGCATGTCCTAGGACCTCGCTACTCAGTGTGTGGGCTAGAAATGCAGCTGCCAGCCGGGCGCGGTGGCTCACGCCTGTAATCCCAGCACTTTGGGAGGCCGAGGCAGGCGGATCACCTGAGATCGGGAGTTTGAGACCAGCCTGACCAACATGGAGAAAACCCGTCTCTACTAAAAATACAAAAAATTACCCAGGCATGGTGGTGCATGCCTGTAATCCCAGCTATTCAGGAGGCTGAGGCAGGAGAATTGCTTGAACGCGGGAGGTGGAGGTTGTGGTGAGCTGAGATCACACCACTGCACTCCAGCCTGGGCAACAAGAGCAAAACTCCATCTCAAAAAAATAAATATAAAAAAGAAGTGCAGGAGGCAGCCATGACTGTAGCTCAAGCCTGCAATCCCAGCACTTTGGGAGGCCAAGGTGGGTGGATCATGAGGTCAGGAGTTCAAGACCAGACTGACCAACATGGTGAAACCCTGTCTCTACTAAAAAATACAAAAATTAGCTGGGCATGGTGGCTCGTGCCTGTAATCCCAGCTACTTGGGAGGCTGAGGTAGGAGAATTGCTTGAACTGGACCCGGGAGGCGGACGTTGCAGTTACCCGAGATCGCGCCACTGCACTCCAGCCTGGGCTACAGAGCGAGACTCCATCTCAAAAAAAATTTTAATCGAGTGTGGTGGTGCATGCCTGTGGTCCCAGCTACTCGGGAGGCTGAGGTGGGAGGGATTGTATGAGCCCTGGAGGTCAAGGCTGCAGTGAGCCGTGATCATGCCACTGCATATCAGCCTGGGCAACAGAGCAAGACCCTGTCCCAAAGATTAAAGAAATGCAGATGCCCAGGCTTGGCTTAAACCTGCTCCATAGGTGAGTCATCTGCATGCTGAAGTTTGAGCAGCACTGCTCTTGCAGGCAGGTAATTGCAAGATTCTGGTGGAGGCCAGACAGGTGCGTAGCCCCCGAGCGGTCTCAGTCACACTGAGCTATGGCCTGCCATGCCACATGAGGCTTTGCCCCATGAGGTAGGCATTAGCCACTTTTATGGATCATCATCTGTAAGGCGAGACTCCAAAAAGTCAGTCATCCAAGGGTTAGAATTTGCCAGCAAAACCCTTCTGGTTTTTTTCTTTTTCTTTTTTGAGACAGGGTCTCGTTCTGTCATCCAGGCTGGAGTGCAGTGGCAGTCTTGGCTCACTCCAGCCTCCACCTCTCAGGCTTAAGTGATCCATCCATCTTAGCCTCCAAAGTAGCTGGGACCACAGGGGCCTGCTGCCACACTCAGATAGTTTTTTAATTTTTTTTTTTTTTAGACAGAGTCTTGCTCTGTCACCCAGGCATTGCTTTCCTGGCTTTGAACCTCATTTTTCCGTTATCAAGGGGCAGCAGATGAAGTCTGAGATTCCTGTCCATTTCTGCAGAAATACGACATTGAAATCCTGGCCTTTAAGGGTCGGGAGCAGGGGGTTCCTGTTAAAGCTCTCATGAATCTGACAAAAGTGACAGGAAGTGCATGCAGGTGCATCACCATGCAGCAGCGCTTTAGGCATTTCTGGACTCCTGGAATCCCATCCCCAGATATGAGGCTGAAGGTCGGCTACTTAGGAGGCGGCCACCAGGGGGCCCCAATGAGTAGGGGGTGGCACAGCTGAATGCAAGGTAACTCCGGTGAGTAGATGAGCGGTGACCCCCACAGCCATCCCTCACCCCAACACTGGCTTGCTTTCACATTTTTATTTTATAAAAGAGGAGGCTAAACAACATCTCTCCCATCTCAGAAGATAGCCAGTGACGATCACTGCTTAACCAGCAAGATCATACACACCCATTGCCTTAAGTCTGTTTTGTGCTGCTGTAACAGAGGACCTAAGACTGGGTAATTTGTAAAGAACAAAAATTGATTTCTCACACTTCTGGAGGGCAGGAAGTTCAAGAGGAAGGTGCCGGCTGGTTTGGTATCTGGTGAGGGCTGCTTTTTGCTTCCAAGAGGGTGCCTTGATGCTGCATCCTTTGGAGGGAAGAACATTTGTCCTTGCACGGCAGAAGGTGGCAGGGCAAAGAGTGGATGCACTCCCTCTATAGCCCTCCTAGAGGGCACTGGCCCCATTCATGAGTGCAGCGCAGTCCTGACTCAGTCACCGCCCCAAGGCTTCTCACCTCCCAACACTGTTGCATTGGGGATTCAGTTCCCAACATGTGAATTTCAGCAGACATATTCAGACCCTATCACCACTTCTAAACATTTCAGCTCCATTTGACCCTTGAGCCCAAGCAAGCACTTTTTATTTTTAGTTTTTCAGACAGGGTCTCACTGTGGTGCCCAGGCTGGAGTGCAGTGGCACTGCCGTAGCTCACTGCAGCCTCAACCTCCTGGGCTCAAGTGATCCTCCAGCCTCAGCCACCCAAGTAGCTGGAACTACAGAGGTACACCACCACATCGGCTAATCTAATTTTTTGTAGAGATAGGGTCTCACCATGTTGACCGGGCTGGTCTTGAATGCCTATGCTTAAGTGATTCACCTTGGCTTCCCAGAGTGCTGGGATCACCGGTAATAAGCATTTTTTTAAAAGGCAGCACGAACCAGAGCTTCATTAAAGGGGAGTTGGTAAACCTTTTTTTTTTTTTTCTAAAAGCAAGAAAAGCCCAGCTCGGTAATTTATCCAGCAGAAGCAGAGTATTTCTAAAATAATAGTTCCCCTCAGTAGTACTTGGAAGTGAATTCATGGCAGAGGTGAAGGGCAAACTGCTTCCTCTAGGGGGATTCTAAATACCTGATGCAGAATTCAGCAGATGTGTGGCTGGGCACAGTGGCTCATGCCTGTAAGCCTAGTACTTTAGGAGGCTGAGGTGGGAGGATCACAAGGTCAGGGGTTTGAGACCAGCCTGGCCAACATGGTGAAACCCCGTCTCTACTAAAAATACAAAATTAGATGGCTGTGGTGGCATGCTCCTGTAATCCCAGCTACTTGAGAGGCTGAGGCAGGAGAATTGCTCAAACCCCGGAGGTGGAGGTTGCAGTGAACCAAGATCGCACCACTGCACTCCAGCCTGGGCGACAAAGCAAGACTCTGTCTCAAACAAACAATAATAAACCAAAACAGCACCAATTCAGTTGGTGTGAAGTTGTACCTGGAAACAGCTTCATGAACGTTTCAAACCTGTACAGAGCTAGGTGTGCGTGCTGCTGCTTTTAATTGGAAACTTTTGGGAAGCAAACAGGGAGGGTAGAGGAAGCCACTTCCATGCTACCAAAAATTGCATTACCTGTAGCACAGAATTGTAATTTTATGTCAAAATTGAAGCACAGGTAAGATGTCACTAGAGAAAAAGCATCATGTGAACTATATATAAGAAGACAAGCTAATGACAGAAATTACTAGGCTTTAAAAAGTAGGCAGCCGGGCGCAGTGGCTTATGCCTGTAATCCCAGCACTATGGGAGGCTGAGGCGGGAGGACTGCTTGAGCCCAGGAGGTGGAGGCTGCAGTGAGCCTTGATCATGCCACTGCACTCCAGGCTGGGAATAAAAAGTAAATAGGCTGGGCATGGTGGCTCACGCCTGTACTCCCAGCACTTTGGGAAGCTGAGGCGGGAGGATCATTTGAGGTCAGGAGTTCGAGACCAGCCTGGCCAACATGGTGAAACCCTGTCTCTACTAAAAATACAAAAATTAGCTGGGTGTGGTGGCGCACCTGTAGTCCCAGCTGCTTGGAAGGCTGAGGCAGGAGAATCGCTTAAACCCAGGAGGCAGAGGTTACAGTGTAGAGATCACACCACTGCACTCCAGCCTGGGTGACAGAGCGAGACTCTGCCACAAAAATAAATAAAGAAGTAGGGGGAAATGTGCATAAGCTCCAGAAACAGACTGTTCCATGGACCTTTTCTGAGCACAGTGGGCTGGACAAGTGGATTTACTTGTCATCGTAAAAGGGTAGGAAGGAAAGTTCTAGCACATGCTATGAGACAACAGACAGGGATTAAGAAAATCATGTTTTAATGTCTGGTCCTCCACCACCTCCGCACAGCGCTTTCTGAGGAGTAATGCCCGCTCTGCGTCCTGACTGCAGGGAATGTCAGGGGCAGCCTTGTAGCCCAGGCCTGCTGTAGGTCTAGTGACAGCAACCAGGTGGCCTCCTCTGCCGCATAAAGTGCTTGCACAGAGCCACGGTGCCTCAGAGGACTGGGCCTGTTCTGCAGGGAGCTGGAGACGGGAGGCTTCTGAGCAAAGCCAGCTCCTGCCCAGAAAGCCACAGCAGTGCCACTGCCTCGGGCCAGCACTCACCCATAACCCCAGGCTGCAGGAACCACAGAGTTGACCCAGCCAAGAACAGACCTGGGAGCTACTGGGCTGCGTGGGCAAACAGATCCTGCGCACGACACACAGGAGCTGTGGGCAACCCTGAGTACTTGTGGAGCGCAGACTCAATCAGATTCCAGAACTTTCTCTGGGGTGATGTGACAGCCATTTCTCCCTCCTCCTCTCTGTTCTTTGATGGGGTAGGCATCACTGGTCCAACTCACCAGCAAGGCCCTGCCAAGAAGGACACAAGTGGATCGAGGTACACCCGGCACACCCTGCTCCCCGGGACCCCTTGCGGCAGGCGGGAGTAAGGGGCGCTCCCTGGACTTCACCCCTAGGGGTTCTCAAGTTGGTCCAAGGCCTGGAACCCACCTTCCTGTTATGCAAAGTGAATTTAAGTAGCGTGTGCCCCAGGCTTTCTCAGGGCATCCATTATCAGAACCAACTTGAGATGTTGCTGGCTTGAAAGAGTCAATGCAGCACAGGGGACTAGGGATGGAGCAGCTGCTGAGACTGGCAGGACTGCCCGGGCTAACAGGGTGACACTG